TTAGTTGTTTGGATCATCCGATATGTGCCGTGGAAAGAATGGGGTTCGGGGTGATAAACTCGAGGTTTTTGGGTTGGCGAACTCGCGGCTTCGGGCCTCGGTTGTTGAAGGGTAGACGGGGAGGACTTACCACTCCTTGCGGCGCTGGATGTTCTGGGCAGTGCAGCCGGTTGTGCGGTTGTCGATGGCGCCGAAGATGTTCTGCTGGTACTGGGCCTGTAGCTCGAGAATCCGCTTGGAGGCCGCGACTTCAGGGTCGACATCGCCGACGGGGGCGGCGATGGCCAGGTGAGCCAGGGACAGGAGCCCAGCCGCGAGCGAAAGGAACTTCATGTTGATGGTAGCGAGTAGTAAATTGCGTTGCTAATGTTGTGTGGTCAGGTGCCACGAATTGTGTGAGGGTGCTGGAAGACGTCGAGAGGGTGGTAGATGGGCGAGTGGCAACCTGCGAGAGTTTAAGAGTGAGGAACGGTGCAAAAGGCGAATAGAGGAGGGAGGACCAGGAATTTATAGTCGAGGGCGCACCAAGCGTGGCGGTGACTGGGGCAAAACGCGTACGGCGTGTTTATCAGACGGAACCTTAACCTGCAGGTTGCTACGATCACATGCATGTTGCGCGGCGTGGCTGCATGACTTGCAGGTTGATATCAGATGGTAACGCCTGTGATTGTTCGATTACCAGAACTCCGAAACCTAGAAACCGAGCGGAAAGAAAGGGAAACTCGATGGGTCATGTTGTGTTCTGGGTAAACCAACAAACTAACCAGGCGACCCTTCGACCCAAGCCGTCCCAAAACAGGGCAGAAGAATGACAACCCGGCACCAAGACCCTCGTGCCCTCGCTGTCACCAGCCCTCCAGAACCCTCGCCTTCCGCAACGCTTCCCTCTCAGCCTTGACAGTCTCCCACTCCTGCAGCAGCACCTGGACCCGCTCGCACGTCAGATCGAGGATCTTGGCCTTGTTGATGGGCCGGCGGCGTTTGCGGCGTCTACTTTGTTCCTCTGCGTCCGGCAGCCCGTCTTGATCTCCGCCACCGAGTCCGTCGCCTCGTGATTCTGCATCGCCGAGCCCCAGCGTCACCTCCAGGCGCTCAAAGCCGGCGCTCAGCTTGTCGCGGTGCCGCTTGCCGACGCGGTTCTGGCGGCGGCGCACGTGCTGCGTGTGCGGCGCGGGTTCCTCGGTGTCGTCAGTGCCGTCATCTTGGTCGATGGAGCTGCATGGACTCGGGGCGTCGGCGGCATCGGTCGCGGTAATGGCGGGGAGGCTTGGCTTGCTACGGCGACCTGCACTGCTTTTCGTTGGCGTTGGCCTGGTCTTGCTTTCTCCGACGTCCATCCTGACGGCCGCAGTGTCGGTCGACGGTTCGGCGCTGTCGTTTGGCGCTCTTCCGTTGGCCATTGCGGTTGAGTAGGCGCTGATAACTGGTAGGTTGAGAGACCGGGGACGTCCTTGAAGTGGGGATTGGCCCTTCGGCGAGGCTGAACCGGCCACACAATTTCTCAATTGCTGCGACGAGCACTACAGGAAAGAGCCTGGAGCGGCTGCCTGGCAGTGCCTGCCCCTCGGGCCCGGGGCTCGGGAGTATAGGTACCTGGTAAACTTGGGGGGAAAGATCAACCAACGAGCCACACCCCCCCGCCCGATGGTTCGGCTTTCAGCTCCCCTGCATGCCGGGCGCCGAGTCCCTGCAGGCTGCAGCTGAAGAGCCCATCAGGAAATTCCTGCTCGCGCATGCACTTCGCTGCATTGGTCTTTTAGGTTCTAGGTTAAGTTGCTTGCAACCGCATAATCCCCTCTGCAGAAAACACGGACTCTTGTCTTTGCTTTTTACCCTGGCAGAACCGGACCTTTTTCCCCACAAGACCTGGCAGAAAAATAAAACAACAAGGATGATTTACGTCTTAAACCGACTTACAAAAAGGACAGCAGGTGCTTCCGAGCTACAAAAGCAAAGAGCCTCCTGCTTCAAGGAGTGCATGTCAGATCGAAGGGCTCAATCGGGATTCGAACCCGAGACCTCGCACATCTTCGTTGCTTGTTTGTTTCCAAGCAAGGGAAGACGAGTCTATCCCGAAGCGCGAATCATACCACTAGACCATTGAGCCGGACGTCTCCAGTTGTGGATTCAGCGTCGGATGGTGTGCTTTAAGCCGTGGTGGTGGAGCCGACTCCACAGCGAGGCCTTGTCCGACTCTAATTAAAGAATATGTCGCTTCTTTTGAAAGAGCTTAAAGTCAGAGATTGCGGCTTGGCCTTGGGCTTCCAGTTGGGATACAGACCTCGATCCAATCCCGATCTCGTTGGTGGATCGAAGATCGCAAGAAAGGAAAAAGTGCCGGGGCCCGGGGTTGCTTGTCTCGAGTTTGAAGCCCTTGGTTAAATCCGACTTTAACCCCGGAGATCCGTGGTGTTGTACACCTCTCCTCGAACATGACAACACCCAAAGACTCAACTCTTCACAACCCAACTTTGTGGAACGAACCAGCCTCACACACATACTCATCTTTGAATACAGCATCAGACCACCCCCAGCCATACATCAGCAGACCAACCAACATGACCACCCCCCACCCCACAGCCGACACCCCCGCCTACGCCCCCGGCCACGCCGCCTCGCAGACCAAACACCACGAGTGGCGCACCGCCCAAAACAGCGCCGCCCACCTCCTCCCGCACCTCGACCGCCTCGCCCAGCAAACCCCCCACCTCAAACTCCTCGACGTCGGCGCCGGCTCAGGCACCATCTCAGCCTCGCTCGCGGCCCACCTCCTGCCGCACGGCGGCTCCGTCCTGGCAACCGACATCTCGGACGCCATCCTGTCCCGCGCCGCGAGCCACGCGACCTCGCAAAACCTGCCCAACATCACCTTCCAGCGCGCCTCCGTCTACGCCCTCCCCTTCCCCGACGGCGAATTCCACGTCGTCCACGCGCACCAGGTGCTCTGCCACCTGCCCGACCCGGCAGCCGCCATCCGCGAGATGCTGCGCGTGTGTGCGCCCGGCGGGGTGGTGGCGCTGCGCGAGTCGGACATGCGCATGTGGTGCGTGTGGCCGGAGAGGGAGGCGCTCCTGAAGTTTCATGGGTTGATGGTGGACACGCTGGTCGCGAACGGCGGGCAGGATAAGGGCGGGCGGAGGCTGGTTTCGTGGGTTTTGGATGCTGGGGCGGGGAGTCTGGGGAGGGGGGATGTGGAGGCGGGGTTTGGGACGTGGTGTTATAGTGAGGAGGGGGATCGGAGGGCTTGGGGTGAGTTTTCTTTTTTCTTTTTTCTTTTTTTTGTTCTCGGTTATTTTCTTTTCTTTTTGGGGGTGACTAACTTGTGCAGGCGAGGCCATGGTCGAGAGGTTGCGGACTGGGCAGATGCGTGAGAAAGGGATTGAGTTGGGGCTTACCACGGAAGAGGGCATCGAGGAGATGATCAAGGCGTGGGAGGGGTGGATCGAGACGGACGATGCAACACTGGGGATTATGAATGGGGAGGTGATTGTGAAGAAGCCATGAGGAGTAGCTTGTGGTGGTATTAGAACCAAGAGATGTGGAAAGCCTCACTCAGATGGGACTCATAAACTCTGACCTCAAGACGTAATGTCTCGCGGAACAGGCAATATTAGGTCGGCCGGGTCCTGTTTATAGCCGTCTGGGGTCACGATAGAAACCGATAGTGAGATCAGCAAGCGGCGTCTTCTACCTAGAATCGAACTGGGACCCAACTCTCGTGGAATACACTCGACAGTTGCGTATGACGATGAGTGTAGGGTTCAGTTGATTACCCAGATACTGACAGTCTCATAGTGTAGATTAATACGGGCACATATTAGTGCTTTATAGTTTTTTTTCTGTCTGCCACGTCTTACTACAAAACTACACAGCCTCCCCTCCAACCCCAGCTCATGATTGGGTTAAATCACAGAGGCCTTGAGCCTGGATGCTGGCTGAACTGTCGACTTGATTTCTTATTACCAAAGCACCTTATCAGAGAAACTTCCGTGGACCTCAAACCCGTGCCTGGTTTCAGGCCTGAATCGAGACGGTTGGGGTTGGGGTCGGTTGCCGCACCGGCGCACGTGTCAGTGGACTCGTGGAGGCCCGGTCCGACGCTAATGCGACGGGAGTCTGGATCCTGATTCTGAGGTGCGAGCCGGCGGCTGAGAGCGGGATGAGTCGGTGTTGGTCAGACTCTGCGTTGTTGATCATGGTGGCCAAAATCCAAGCGGTCAACACGCTGGTGAGGTCCTCACGAGACCTGGCATCGCTCAAGGGGCTCTCGTTTCCCCGCCGTGTGCAGGGCTGCTCCACCCGTCTCGTCAACAGAATGACGCGATGGGTTGCTAAACTCCCGTCTGTGGAGGGAGCCGGGCCTAGACCCGCCCAGTCACCGGAGATGACGGCATGCCACATCTGCACAACGACGTCATCGGCCCCGTCGCCGCCAGACCCGCGGTGAGACAAGATGGGCCGTGGTTGGGCGTGTTTTGGCGCGGAAAACCGGGGTCGTCGGTCTGGCATGCCTCGCACCGACGCACACTGGCGATTCGGACCCAGAAGCGCACGAAGCCGACCAAGCAGTGTCGTCCTTTCGCGGTGGTCAGGGTCCTGCGAGAGGGAGGGCGCCGGGCCTTCATTGGCTGGCGACGGCGAGATCAGCGGGATCGGCAGCAGGCCAGGCTTGGCGGCCTTTGGATCCTGCCAGTGCTGCCATGGCTTCCGGGGCCAGGAGGGACCCTGAGACGGCAGCGGAAGCAGATACTTCGGGAGGGAGTTAACGTTGGAGTGATTGCTGCTCTGTCTTCACCGTCCCGCGACTCGTGTGAGGTTGATCACAAGAGCGTGCCCAGGTGCATGTGGTTTGCCAGAAACTAGAATAGCGTTGCCCAGGCCTTCAGGGAGTGCGCGGTGTCGGGCCTGGTCAAGGAACCAAGGACTCGGCCTGAGACAAGGGCCATTCTGCACCTTCTAGGCCTTCTTTGATTCCGGAAAAGGCAGTTCATTATCTGCGTCGAAACAAAGCGATCTGCCTGGATCAGTTCGATTTTGTCGATTTTGCCGCCAAAGGCGCAACCGGGAGAGCGCGAGTTGCAATTTGTGTTTGGCAATTGGAGGTCGCAAGCCCGAGTGGAGCCCTGCGAACAGGCTGCGATTTTATTTCAGCATTTCCAGCGCCCGCCCGCCGCACCCAGACAGCAGGGCAAGCACCTGGGCATCTGCACCCCGCCAGGTCCATCTGTGCACACTGCACAGCGGCCCGCGCATCACCCTTAGGTAAGGCAGGCAGGCGCGGCAGCAAAAAGTTCCAGACTCGGCCAGTCCCCAAAGTCCCAGAATTGGTCCCAAATTGCATCCCCAGTCCGCTGCCAGATTCGGGTCATCACCGGGTTTTAGCGCACCCTCCCAACCGACCGGCACCGAACACTCCCAGCAACGATCGGTTCCAGACCGGGTGCCAAATTTAAGCGCTTTGCAACCGACTGCCGATCCGTTTGCGACACTGCGTTTTTGCGTGCTGCAACACACTGCTCTCGGTTTCGACGCGCCATCGCCATTGCCATCGCCATCGCCATCGACGCCGACGCCGACTTCGACTTCGACTTCGACTGGCACCGCGGTCGCCCTCCGATGCCTCGGCTCTACTGATACGACGCTGGCAACATGGCGAACCCGGTGGGGGAGGACAACTGGGTCGAGTATGTCGACCACCAGCTGCGCGAGGCCGCCGACTTCGAGGCCCGCGTGCGCGTCGTCGAGGCCTTCCGCCACGCCACGCTCGCCGAGCCCGGCAGCATCAAGGTGTGGATGGCCTACTGCGAGTACTTCTGGTCGCTCTACACCGACTGCCACCCCGGCAGCGACGCCGGCTGGCCCGCCGACGAGCAGCAGGTGGGCCGTGAGGCCTTCTCGCTCGACGCCGCCCTCAACCTGTGGCAGGAGGGCTACGAGGCCGTGCAGTACCGCCTCTCTGACAGCCACGAGCTGTGGAACCGCTGGGTGTCGCTCGAGATGGAGCTGCTGCGGCGCACCGCCACCGAGGCCGGCGTGCGCCGAATCACCCACCTTTTCAAGAACCGCCTCGCCGTCCCGCACGCCGCCTGGGACGCCACCTCACAGATGTTCTCGAGCTTCCTGTCCGAATACAACCGCCAGGCCTACGAGAGCGAGATGCAGCAGGTGACGCGAAACGCAAAGGCCGCCAAGCGCCTCTACGACCTGCGCGACCCGTGGGAGACCAAGCTCGCCCGCGCCGCCAAGGCCCACGACGCCGCCGCCCTCCGCGCCACCATGTCCGAGTACATCGACTGGGAGATCCGCCTGGTCAAGACCAAGAAGGACGCGCGGGACCTCGCCGTCAACTTCCAGATCTGCCTCGCCCTCTTCACGCGCGCGCTGACGGGCGCCTTGGCGTCCGACGAGGACACCTGGCTCAACTTTGCCGTGCTGATCTCCACCACTCACACAGACCTCAAGGCCGGCCGCTGCCACGTCCCCGCCAACCTGGTGCCCAACATGCTCGACGTCCTGCAGCGCGCCGTGCGCCACGTCCCCTGGTCCGGCCCCGTCTGGGCCCGCTACATCCTGACTGCGGAAGAAGCCGGCCTGTCCTTCACCGACATCGAGCGCATCAAGCACGCCGCCACCGACAGCGCCCAGCTGGACAGGGACGGCATGGCCGGCGTCCTCGACATGTACTCGGCCTGGTGCGGCTACCTCAAGCGCTCCGCTATGAACCCCAGCGCCACCGAGGAAGCCGTCGACGTCGCCGAGGTCGGGCTACCGTCGGCCCTCGAGGACGTCAAGCACTGGGGCAAGCGCAAGTACGGCGAGGCGTACCAGGGCGATCCCGACTATCGGCTCGAGAAGATCCTGATCCAGTTCCTGACCGAGCGCAAGGACGACATCGAGAGCGCGCGCGCCGTGTGGGATGAGTTATCGCGCGTCGAGCTGCACGCCAACAGCTACGACTTCTGGCTCAACTGGTACCTGTGGGAGATGTGGGTGTTCACCGCCGCGAGGAGCAAGATGCGCAGCCCTACCCCAGCGACGCTCGCCCAGGGCCTGCGGGTGCCCACCTTTGCCACCCGCGTCTTCACCCGGGCGCTCAAGGTGCGCACC